CCACCCACTGTGCCCGGCTGCAGCCTCCGCCACAAGAGCAGAACTAGTGGTACAGTGCCAGCTATTGCCAGATGACTGCAACAAGGTGTGTGGAAACTCCCTCCTCCCCCATCTCCCCAGTCCACTGTTCCAGGAACTTTGGGGGAGGGAGCACCTCCTCTCCCCACGTCACTGAAAGCTGCGATCACGGAGGAAACGAACGCGGAGCCGGAGATGAGCTGTCCGTGTCCAACCACACCTGTCCCCTGCAGCTTTCTGAAAACCAAACCACCGTTCAGCCCCATCTCATGAAGGGCATCCATCCGCCTGGACCCTGGGCTCCTGAGGCCCAGCGCACACCAGTGCCTCAAAACGCTCGGCGGGGAGCTCAGGGGCCAGTGGGTTTCTGTTTGTGGAGCCGCTCAGGAAAGGTGGGTGAGGGTGCGGCCCAACGGGAAGGTTAGCAATGGTGGCACTCCACTAGACCCGCAGACACGGGACTGGTGGCCGTTCTCAACGACAACAGAAAGGGCTGCGTAGGAGGCTACCTCGCGGAGGAACTTCCCAACCTCGTTAACGTAGGGGAGGACTCACAGAAGGAACAAAACTCAGACCCATCCTGGCACCTGTCTGCCTGTTGGGAAAAACGGTGCCAATGTTTCCAAAGGCCTTCGGATCATTTGAGCCATTTCATTTAATCTCCCCCAAACCATTCCTTCAAGCACCCCCTGCCTCAACTTTCACACGATGAGGGTAAACACCCCTACCCGCCACCCCGCCCCAAGGTCCCAGCAGGCCTTCGTCAAAATGATTTCACTCAGGGCACCCTACCTGCCAGACATGTTCACCGGGACTCTCACCACCTCCAAGGGTACCCAGGGAATGCTCAGGGCTTAGGGCAGAGCCGTTGGAATCAAGTCAATGGTGGTGAGTTCATTAAAATTTTTTTTTCTTTTAAGGAGTCCTGATGGCACAAGATCAGTGGTTCGAATCCACCAGCTGCTCCGTAGGAGAAAGCTGAGCCCCCTGCTCCCATAAAAATTTATGGCTTCAGACATCCAAAAGGGAAGTTCCTGGTCTGTAGTGAGTTGTTTAAAAGTCAAAATCAGCTTGATGGTAGTGAGTTCTTATTTTGTTTTGTTTTTTTAAACCACTAAGGAACCAGTGACACAGGTCAGAAGTTCAAATCCACCAGGCACTTCTCTGGAGCAAGAAGAGACTTTCTGCTCCTGCAAAAATGTAGTCCCGGAAGCCCGCGGGGCCAGTTCTAGTCTGTCCTGCAGTGTCACTGTGAGTCAACCGGATGGCAGTGGGTGAGTGGTGTGGCCTGTCCTAAATCAAGAGTCCCTAGCTATGGGAGCGCCCCATAGTGGTCACATGTTGGGCTGCAAATCACCAGGTCAGCAGTTCAAAGTCACCAACGGCTCCGCAGGACAAAGACAAGGTTTTCCATACGTTCCCTCAGAAACCCACACGGGTAGTTGGGTCTATGCTGTCCTACAGGGTAGGTCGCTGAGTCAGAATCAACTCGAAGACAGTGAAGTTTTGAGTAACTGTGGGAGCCCCTGGGCTACAACATGTGAAGACGAGACAGGTTGGTGTTTCAAGCCAAGGGGTGGGGTGGGGGCTTATACAAGAGGCCCTAGCGAGATTGCAGTATTGAGAACCTTCCCCGCAGTCCTGCTCCCCACCCCAGGGACACCAGACAGTGTACAACAGGACGGCGAGAAGGCTAAAACAGCAGCAGCTGTGGGAGAAGATGGGCGGGTAGGTGGGAAGAGGCCCCCTCTTTCGGTACATTAGCATCAGAAATCGATCTTCTCAAAGCCGGCACAGTCCAAAAATCGTAAGGATGGATGCCTTTTTACCGCCCACCAAGCGTGGAAGAGGAGCTATGCAAAGAAGGAACTTGGGGTCCACCATGAGGATCTGGAAGCTTGCTAATAATTCAAATAAGGGGCAGGGACTGCCTGTGGGGTGGGGCTATGCAAATAAGGCGAGTGGAGCCCTGCTAGCTGGGGAGAGCAGTTTGCCACCCCCTTGACTGGCAATGAGCCATCTGGGAGGGGAAGAGGAAGGGAACCCTCACTACAATGAAGTCTGAGAGGACCTGGGATCCGAACCTGCAACACCTAGGAGACAGAGGCCGGGAACAGTGGATACAGTGAGAGACAGGCAGCGAGGAGAAGGAGTTGAGAAACAGTAGCAGCAGAGCCAAGAGACAGCGCAGAGAGCTTCCTGGCCCACAGAGCAAGAGAGCTGAGTGTCCCTGGTCAGGCAGCAGGGTGCCTCTGGGTACTTATTGGGGGGATTAAGAGCTTTGTTAACACACATCCAAGCAGGCTACAGGCCAGGCCAAACTGTTAAGGGAGAGGCCTGCCTATGGGCGCAAGAGGAGAGTTTTTCATATAGAAGCATTGTATCTGGAGTATTTCGGATCCCGAGCTGTAAAATGTTACTTCACTAATAACCCCCAGATCCTGACTCCATGTGGACTGTGAGTTCTGTACAGCCATCACAACAAACGATCCATCTCTACAGAGAAGCAGAGGGCTGTGGAAGGAAGACGAGGGTCAGAATTGTCCGGGGGTGGGGTGGGGGTGGGTGGGGGAAGCCTGTGAAGTGGGAGGTACGTCTAACCTTGGCCTGCTAGAAATTGACTGAAGCTAAGGACTGTCCCCCTACACCCCCCCACCCAGCCCCCCCTCTCCCGGGTGATGTTAGAGATCAGATGCTATTTTCACAGTGTGAAAAAATCTTGCTTTTTCTGGTATCCTCTGTTAGAGACCTTCCTTCGGCGTAGCACTGATGCAGCTGGCTCGTGAGACTTAGCGGGACAAGCACTACTGTGAGCCTCCAATGAGGGGTCGGTGCATTGGGCGCACTCTGACGGGAGCTTACAAAGCTCTTTCATTTGCTTAAACTGATCTTCTAAGTTCAGCTCAACCTTCAGGTGTTTAGAAAGCGTTTCTCTGGTACTGTTAGCTGCCATTGCCTCGGCCCGACAACTCCTGGTGACTCATTTGCCAACCTTTCAATTAGAGGACTTCACCACTGGGCCATCAGACTGCCTGCGCTTTCTGGAGGGGGAGGGGCCGGGGGCGGGGCGGCCGGAAGAGGGCAAGCCAATCACAGACGGAGTCTGAGGCGGATTGATGGCCAGGCCTCTGGGCCAGACCTGGGGATGTGTCCCGAACCGGATGTCACGTGGAACCCACCAGCCAAGCGGCTTAGGGTCCAGCCACACACAAACTCTCACCGAGATCGCTCAGCTACTCGAGGGCGGGTGGGGAGTGAGTCCCGCAGCTCAACACACGCGAACCCCCACCCAGGGTCACTCACGCCTCGCGGGGGTCCCCCACCAGCCTCTGGGCGGGGGGCACACTCACTTGATGCCATCCAGCCAGGTGACAAACTCATAGGCGCTGCTGGTGGGAGCGTGACACTGTACGTAGGACTCGGGCGCGCAGTCCACCGTGTTGAACACGACGAGGCTGTACTGGGTCCCCCCATACTGAGAGGGCAGAGAAAAGCGCACTCGATCCGGGGCACCCCCAACCTCGGACCACGGCGGCCACGCCTCGGGGCTCCTCCTCCCTCAGAACCAGCAGGGCCAGTACCCTCCTCCATCAGACCCTGGAGTCTGGTCCCCACCCCCCTTCTGCATCAGGCCGGGGTCCAGGACCGCCCCCCCCCCTTCTCCAGTAGGCTAGGGTCCAGGACCCCCACCCCCCACGCACGCACCGCTTCCCCTCAGACCCCAGACACGCATCCTCCCTCGGACCCAGGAATCCCGGTCCCCTCCTCCCTCAGACTTGGGGGTCCTGGCTCCCCCTCCCTCAGACCCAGGTCAGTCCCCGCATGCCCCCGGGGTCCCGAGACTCACGTCTCCCCCGAAGTCCGTCTCGGCAGGAGGACCCCCATTAAAGTACCTGTGGGGGCAGAGGGAAAGGCCGGTCAGGCAGGCGGCGGCGGCGGCGGCACGCCGAGCGCGGCGGCGGGGCCCGCACTCACTCGATGGCCGGGAGCAGGTAGTGCTTGCGGAGCCCCTCGAAGTAGGGCCCCAAGTTGGCCGTGCCCTCGATCACAAACACCACGTCGGCCACCAGCCCCCCGGCGCGGGCCGGTCCCTCAGACCCGGGGACCATCCCCCGAGCGGCCGCCGCCACCGCCACGGCCGCCGTCGCCGTCGCTGGAAACCCGGAAGTGCGCCTGCGCGACGCGAGATGACGTATTGCCAGGCCGACGCCCCTGCCGCCATGTTTGTGCCGGGCAGCCGGGCCCGCTGCGCCCCCTCGTGCGTCGGGCGTCTCCCCACGGCAGAGGACCCTCGGGATAGGGGCGCGGGCCCCCTCGGGGGCCTGAGGCGGGACGTTGGGCTCTTGGCCGGACTGTGCAGGGCGACGCTTTCGTGGTGGCGCTACCGGCAGCCATCTTTGAGCGGGGCCCTGTTATTTCCGAAGCTGCCCCGTATCGGACGGGCAGGGCATTTGGTGGATAAACTGCCCTTGTTTCCCAAGAGGATTAAGTTGCCGTTCCATCCTTGGGGCCGGATGGGCGCCTGGGGAAAGGGCCAATCAGGGCGCCCTCATTCCGGTTGCTAGGCAACCCTGTAACGTGGCTTGGAAGAGGGAGCAGCTGTAGTCTTCCTCCCCACCCCCCAAAAAGACGAATTCCAGCTCCCAGGGAGGTCGCTAGGCAACACTTAATCACTGTTTTCTGGAAGAGGGCCCAGAACCGGGCTGAGAACATAAATACATTCCAGGTGGCATCCCAATGTAAATATAATAAATGACATCATCAAAATAGCCGGAACAAAACAAAACACCGAAGTACACGGTATTCTCCAACCCACTGGAAAAGAGTTTTTTGGTAGGTAAAACCAGAAAACTTTTAACTATTGACCAATCTGCCTGCGAAAGGCTCCAAAAAGGAAACTGAAAAATAGACCCATAAAGTCGGAAAGTATTTATAACTTTGGTGTTAACGGAAATTTAGGACACACCCAAAATCGTATTAATTGCTGGGCATTTGTAGAACTAGAGATACATTCTTTGTGGAAATGTGAGGTCGTTTCTGAGCAGGCTCTGCAGAAAGAGCAATGGCCGCGGGCCAATAAGCGTAGGAAAACTCATCGTCACTAATTCACCAGTGCACACTAGCGAGGTCACCTTGTACGGTTTTCTTGGGAATCGAAATGCAAAGAAGAATGCAGTCCGTTGGGGGCAGGAGGGTTTGCCCAGAGTTAAGTTTCCTGCCTTGTCAACTTGATCCAGTCGAGCTGAGTTTGACAATCAGAGGTGCAGTCCCTTTGAACCCCGCAGCATGGCATGGCGCCACACTGACGTTGTCCAACTTTTATTATTCTTTGATTTTTCTCCAAGGGAGGCTTTGAAATAAAACCGGACGTCAAAGCAGCAGAAGTTTCTGGAAGGACCAAGACGGTCTAAGGGAGATGTCCAAATTCACAGAGTGTAAATGGCTGCTCTGCCAAACAATGAGGAAGAAAATTGGTTTGTTTTTGCACGACGGGCGTAGGAACTGAACGCTAGAAAATCGTAATGACTGAAAGACCCAAAGGCTTCTGGGATATCAAAAGCAGGGATGTAGGGAGAAGGGATTGACGAGCGGTTTTGAAAGGTAGGAAGGTGAGGGATAAAGGGGGTTGTCTCCACCAAATGCCTGAGCTAAGTCAAATGAGCTGGCCATGCCACAATAAAAGAGCTGGAAAGAAATCAAGCACATGGTACACACCTATGGGGACAAGCCAAAGCTGGGGATGCTCAGACCAAGGTCACGTAGATATAGGTGAAGGTCAACCTGGGCATGCACACTTGGCACCATCGACATCACGGGACAGGTGCGACTGAATTCAACCACTAAAAAAATTCAGGCCAATACCCTCAACCCCGCCCCCTCAAGTGGGGTAGGAGGGAGTACAAAGCAGAGACCAAGGGCAGTCACTCTGGTTCCATGTACTTGTTCTGGTACTTCTTCCACCTGGTTTTTCACGCTCCCCAGAAGTGACCACTCCCAGGAAGTGACCGTCTTCAGCCTCAAACTCTTGCGTGGTCCCCCAGGCAACCTTGCACGCTTTCCAGAGATAGCGTGTACTATTCCAGAATGTAATACCCCAAACTTTCCTGTCCCTCATCGAAGTGAATTGGACTTACAAGAACGCTTTTTCTGCCAGGTGGATGCTTTCAGTGTGGAGAAAGAATCAAGAACCGAGGAAATGCATCCCGGACACCTAATCTTTTGAACTGTTGAATCCAGCGTTGATGAGCTGAAATGTTAACCACTCCGCCGCCCATACAGACAACACATACAAACGCACCTAATTCACAAGTAAACATTCATTAAAAAAACAGACGCAGTGCATGAGCCCGGGAAGGGGGGTCGTCTATGTAGGATCATGTGATTGGCTACAGGTCAGTAACTGCAAGCATATACAGTAGTGGTTCTCAACCTGTGGGTCAAACGACCCTTTCACAGGGGTCACCTAAGATCATCATCGGAAAACACATATTTCCAATGGTCTTAGGAACCGAGACACGGCTCCTCTGTCTCCAGGCAGACATGGCTTGAAGACTGTTACCCATGCTATACCATGCTTCAAGACACAATGTCATTGATTTGTCATTAGAAATAAATATTTCACAATCTATAATGACATTGTTTTTGTGATGAATCACCCTGCTTTAATGATGTTCAACTTGTAACAATGAAAATACATTCTGCCTATCAGATATTGACATGATGATTCATAACAGTAGCAACATTACAGGTATGAAGGAAGTAGCAATGAAAATAATTTTATGGTTGGGGGTCACCACCGCATGAGGAACTGTATTAAAGGGTCCGGGCACGAGGACAGTTGAGAACCACTGATAGACAGGCTTCGGTTGGTTACAAGCTGGCGACAGGGCAATGGCTATTGCTTGAGTGGCCATTGGCACCTACTAGCTCCTCTCCAGTAGAATGAGGCAGTCCAATTCCATGGAGATTGACAAGCTGGGAGCTCTTCTGCTCTATCCTGTCGGGTACACAGGAATCAGAATTAATTAGATGTCAATAAGTTGGCTATAAAAAAATTTTTTTTTCTTTCTCAATCATGTCTGTTTCTGGAAGTCGAGTGTAAAGATTTATCGATGATTTTTGGCACCAAGACTCTTTTGGGTAAAAGCTAACACAACTGGGATCTGCTTCACCATAGGCAGGGCTGGGGAGCCTGGTCATTTGGATACTTATAACATCACCTCCAGCCATTCAGGTCAAATATTTCATTAACTCACCCTTAATATGATAGCTGGATGTTGGGGACCAGCCTCCCCACCACCGATGGGTCCAAGGGGTGGTTGTGTGATCGATGGGTAAATTAAAGAGACATCAGACAAGATAAAGTTTGCCAGGGCTCACCTCCTCAGTCATGACTTCAGGAGCCAGGTCCAAGCAGAGAGAGAGTGTAATGTAACCTCGAGAGCATTTATAATCAGGAAAGGGTTGTTCCACAGGCATACACACAATAGGAGGGGGACGAGCTAGGGTGTGCCCCATGCAGTAGGAACGGGAGGCACTAGAGGCACACAGGTGACAGGGAGGCACATACGTAACAAGATGGGCGGGCTCTAGAGTCAAGATGGCAGTCTAACCTTGGTCTTTCCTGAGTTGGCTTGACCTTAGGAGTCTTTGGGCTCTCCTTCAGAGAACAATCCATTATCCTTATCAGAAGGCCCTACTTAGGGTGGGACAGACTATAGGGTCTGATTGCCTCAGGTGGCTGATAACCTTTGGGCAGATAACCTTCAAGCAGTTGACCTCAGTGACCATGTGTTAGCAAATAGCACCTTAGATTTGGTATTATTATGGGGGTGCGGGCATGATGGGGAATTGTGGGAAACTGAGAAATATGATGAAGATTATTGGCCCTAACGTATCACAGAGGGAATCTGGAAAGCTGGTATTCCACGGCAGGAAAGCCTCCACTTTGGTCAGTTAGAGATAAAGTCCAAGTACATGATCCTGCTATAAATATCATTCCCACAGATTCTCCCCTAACAGCTATGTTCCCTTAAAGCGAGCACATGGTTGATTCTATCTCCCTATAGCAACAGACATGATCCTTTTGCTCTCTTGTCCTGCTGTGACACCCAACCCCCCTTGTACCTAGCAATGTCCCAAGATAGTAAAGGCTCTCTCTCATTCTTCCAGTTCCACGCGGCCCATCAAGAGAAGCTGAGGTGAGCATGCTACCATGAAATGTGTCTGACTCCTTTGTTTTACTCTCCTCTCCTTTTTATCCTCTATTGCGGTTGGATGGGGTGCCAGCCCCCAATCACTAATCACGGGTTCAGTAGGCACAATTGTACAGTTAAGCTATATAAATATTAAAGTCATCGAGAGCATGAGAGATAGAAGACAGAGTCAAGTAAATAAGTCAGACACATTTCATGGTAGCATGCTCACCTCCTAGATGGCCATGATCTTATGGACCAGGTCCACGCACAGTGTGTGGAGAGGTGTGGAGCGAGGTGGAGAGGTGGAGTTTAGACCTGGCAGGAGGCTGGAGGACAAGGGGAAAGGGAATAGGGGAGGAGAGGGAGCTGAGGAGAGGTAAAGGGGAGGAGCCAAGAGAGAGAGAGAGAGAGAGAGAGATCTCTATTGGTAATGTAGGCCTATATACCTTTGGGGGGCTTGCAAGCCCACTAATTACAGGTAAAGACATACTTCACAGGAAGGGGCTGCACTATAGGTTATACAGCAATGAGAGGGGGACAACCGAGGGACATACATGCAATAGGAAGAGAAGGGGTTGGGGGTATACATGTGACAAGATGGGCGGATCCTAGATACAGGATGGCAGCCTAACTTGGATGTTACTGAGCTGGTTTGACCTGTTCTCTGGCTCAACTGATCGACCATTATCAGCAGAGTGTGAAATCCACCTACAGGAACCAAATCAATGACTGCAGGCCTGTCCATCATCCTTAACAGCAGGAAGAGGGGCCTACCATAGTCTGGTGACTGTCTTCAGAGAGGATGTCTATAAACATCTGACCAACACCCCCCCCCCACTCTATGACTTTACTATCATCTTTATAGATGGTCGCTGTACATTTGCACCTTCTGGCCCTTTGGTTGTTGGAGGCTGGTTACCTCGGACAGGAAATAACT